AGACATGACCGATGATGGGTCCCTGAATCCCGAGAGACTGGGATGAGATAGTCAGCACAACACAGCACAGCAGATGACCTAAAACCACCGTTTTGACATCATCGAGAGCCGTGTCCCAGTTTTCAACGAGTCCACACAAGAGCACGGAGAGCGAGTGCGCGTGCGTGGCTCAAATGGTCCGATGGACGCATGATATCTTGTGCCAAGACCTCCTCGACGCGAGTCCAGTCACCCTGCGTCCATGACTTGAACACCGCACCGCTGATGTGCATCAAGGGCAGCTGTGATACTGCGACGAGAAATAAAACAGTTGGAACAGGCGAATAAGCGATGTTCAAAAACTCACAATGCAAGGAGAAAAGAGGAGTTGGCCACGGCGCGTTAGACTGTCAACGTCTAACGAGTGGGGTTGCTTACATTTACTGTCAAGTACGAGGTGGGAAGGATGTCCCATAGTCTTCTAAGGGTGAGTTTCACATTTTCTTCTCCAGTCGCGATGTAGTCGTCGTCGGGGTAGAGCGCAACAGACCGGACGTCATTTGCGTGCTCGATAGCGGTTCCGATCTCCATATAGTATGGCTAAAAGCATCCCAAAAAGATAGTGTTTTAAGTGCGACGACAACAAGGAACCTTTGATTGTGTGCTAGGATGAGAGAGGCGAATGATCCACCGCCAGTAAGACCCAATGATACTCACCTTTGGACTTGCTGCTGAATGACGGCTGCGGCACTGGTTCCGGAATGCTTTGCTGTGAGTTTTCACACTCCGCTGTTTCCTCATGGTCAACATTTATGTCCGCAGAGAAGATGACGGTCGCTGGATCCATGGATTAAAAATCCCGCTGGAGGATATTGACAGGCTCTCTTGTCGGCCTCTCAAGTGGCTTCGCTTTGTTGCCTTTGCTGTTCTTGGTGCCAAAGGGGATCTCTTTGATGCTTCTGGTGCTGGTCGCAACATCGTCAATTACGACACTGTCTCGGTCACCGATGCCGAAAGTTATTATTTCGTCCCTGACGGTAATCCCCTCATGTCTCCAGTCATCCTTCGCTGACAAGGTGCATTCAAACAGGACGCTACCATCTCGTCGATCCCAATTGGGGGCTAGCTGACAAGATCACTGGATCTACTATTTCTACTCCATGTCGCCACGATTTTCGTAACGATGTTGCTAAGCGTGATGGCCATCGTTGTGTGATCACGGGAGCTAATCCCGAGGACTGCCATGTTGCTCACATTATCCCACATTCCAAGGGTAATCAGGTATTGTTCTCAATTTTGTTGCAGATGTATACCTGGCTCTCATAATATTTTGGTTAGTACATGCGCCTCGTCATTTCGGGTCGTAGCAGTTTATATGAAGACCAGCAAGACCTAAGTGACCTCAATGTCGATTCTCCTCAGAACGGGATGTTTCTAAACAGCCAACTTCATAGTCGATTTGGCCGGGAAGTGAGTGTATTTTTGAAGGTTTGTGTATCGTCTTGGTTATTGCCTTCTGATACGAAGTGACTGCTTTTTCTAGACTCCCAACTTTGCCGTAAAGCGCGACGACATCCCAAGGGTGGAGACTGGCGATATGCCCGCTTCGCGCACGACAATCCAACACCTTCAACCGTGGGAGGGCGTGGACCCTGTTCTGCAGCGGGATGTCCGAGTCGACTGGGCTGTTCAGGACGCGCCTCCGAGCATACTCCTCGATTACACGTATGGGGTCGCAGTCATCCGACGTTGGGCCACCGCACAGATCCGGAATTTGCTAGAGAAGCACCACGAGACTCATTACAAGATTGCTAACACACCATCCTCTATCCCCAAAGACAATCACGATGTTCAACCAGATGACGATGATGAACCGGATAGCCCAGCTGAATCACAAATTTCTGAATATGTGCCTTCGCAGACTGTATACCACCGTGGAATTCATCAGACGCGCACAGAGGCAGCACAATGTCAGGCTATCGAGAATGCCTTTGCTTTCTCTATGTTTATCAAGGGTTACCCACCTGGAACAACCATTGATATGTTACTTCAGAAACAGGAGGAAGAAGCCGAAATGCGTTCACGTCAAGTGGCGAGTGAGAAGGTTCGAGGGTGGTTGGAAACGGGTGAGTCATTGCCACTCTCTCATGGGTCTGATCGGTTATTTATTTATTCGAATCTAAGCTGAAGGTATTGAAAGCCACGGTCCCGCACAGCGTTGATAGGATTTTTAGGGTGGTCCTCGGGGGAGATTGTCTGCTATCAACATGCTTCTCGGGCCGTGCCCCACACCTCGGCGATATTTGTTCCGTACTCCTGACGCTGCGGATGCACTTTCCCGATCGACTTTGCCCTGAATTACGAACTTGCCGGTCATGCATGATGTGACCTGGTCGCCTCGGATTGTCTCGGTGGATCCATTTCGTCCTCGGCTCGGTGATGATGCCTGATCCGTTATACCACTACATTTCATCCATCTCTATCGCTGTTCTCTCATGTCACTATTATGCGGGATCGGAGCGTGCACATATTGCAAACGGTTCAAGGTTTGTCCCTCGCTTGCTGCAGTCTACTCGCTCGCTTATCTTCATCGCTTTACGGCTAACTCAACTTGTTGGGCATTCATGTTTCTACGGTGCGCAATGTCTCCGAACACACGTGTTTGCGTCTCTGAAATGTCTCATGATCGTGGCGCCCTTCCAACCATTGCGTCATGGTCTGAATTTGAAACGGACGCAACTGCAATTTCGATTCTTAAACCTCCGGAAACTCGTGTCGTTGACCCATCCCTTTCACGTGATGCGCATAACGAAACTGTACCTACGACTCCGCATGCAACGTTTCTTGTTCAGAACATACTGCGACCTTGGATTATTGCCCCAGCGCCAGTCCCTCTGGCGCAGAGATGAAGGTTAGTAAAAAGAGCTACTAGTATGAGTGAGGACTGTCTCAACACTTATCTGACGTTGCATCCCACCCTCAGAGCACGAGTCCACGTCCGAGTTCACATTACGATGCGCTATCCTACACGCTGTAATGCCATCCCACCAGATTACCCTCACAAATTCGACGCTCGTGCACCATCCTGCTCAATCTCATTGATAAACGCCTTGGGATCCGGCTCCCATCCCAAAAAGTCCTAAGATCCAGGCATCAGGACGATCCATGATCAGCGATGCACGCTGACGGGGACACCAATAGACACACCTTGAGCGAATCCATGTCGTCCCGGCTCCTACCCACGAACAAGATCTTGTCCCGGTACAGCCTTCCCAGCGCGGGATCCAGCGGTGCCTTTTTGAACACTGTTGCATACATGTCCGCAGTAAACACCAGAGAGTAGGTGTACCTAGTGCACATGTGGTGAAGCGAGAGAGCCACGTCGTGGAAAGTCACTCACACATAGTACCCCGCATCTTATCCACCGACGATATGCCCAAACGTACCCTGCCCAGGCTTGTATTCACTTCCCTGTACGAGCGAGATCTTCTCCCTCAGCTCGTTCCAGAGCTTGGTATAATCGGTGTTCACGTCCAAACTGTTGTTGTGCACCGCGAGATAAAGTTGGCAAAGAAGAGCTGGCGGAGGTAGAATGGCCCGACATTGACGTAGCGACTATAAGCAAAGCGCAACGTTCGATCGTCGTACACACGCAAAAGAGACATTCCGACTAACCTCTTGATGATCTTGGTGATCAGGTCGTCCGACAAGGGCTCTTGCGTCTTGTAATGGCTCGACATCTTTTTCAGCACCTCAGGCTCCCAGCACCTGAGACACGAACATCCAATCAGTCACAGCGTACTAGTAGTGATGATGACGAACCAGTTCTCGAGCATCTGGGACGGGAGCCTCCACGAAGTCGCACGCGACGGCTGTCCCGTGGAATCGTGAGTATCTCGTCCGGCTCAGCAACCCGTGGAACACATTTTATCATATTTTCTCTAATCCCCTTAGGGTTAGGCATGGATATTTTAAGAAATCAGACACATTTTGCCCGCGACAGAACGTACGAACTACGCGGTGGACTGATATGACCACCACTCAACACAATAACCACGATATATACACCCACACATGAACACACACAACACCTAAGCATTATACAAGCTCACTGCAATTCGACATTATGTCGAATCGCGGTGGTATCAACTCTGTCACACACACAACCATTTCACCGCAATTCGACACAAGTGTCGAAATGCGGTGAAATACCATGGTATTGATTGATATTGATTATGTACTCATTGATATATAAACACACCTCTCAAGACGCGTTGATCACAACTATAATGTCACACACCACAGCGATGGAACGCATGAAAGAGCAACAAGAAAGAATACGAATGATCATTGCATTGTGTAGTAGTAAGTGGTAGTACACGAAGTGATATGTACTTACCCATCTGTTTTCACATTTATAGGGCATATTCACTAATAGTTGATTAAGGTCGACTTTTTCTTTGACATACAATTCATATGTGCAGATACTCCTCTTCAACAGGATTCCAATGGTCCAACATTCATGAAAATCGGCGGTGCCGTTGTTGAGATATGAGCTGAACAAGTTGCAGTATCCTCACCATCCATAGTTTCCTAATATGGAAGTCAGTCTTAGGGTTAGGTGCTAAATGTTGCCTAATATGGTATGTCCCTTGGGGTTAGGGTTTCCACATATAGTAATGATGCACCCACATCTCATGTCAGCAATTCCCCAATATAGTAATTATATATTTGAAGCTTGGGTACATCACCGGAAATCCCTTTCCGGTGCACCCATTCCGGAAACACTTTCACAACATCCAACCTCAACTCTTCCTCACCTCCTCAACAACTGATTTCCTCCATCTTTCACACAAGTCAATTTTATTTATCCATAGCTGCTGAACTTTGCTTTCCTGGTTTGGAAAGGAGCATCATCCCTGCCTTTGGAGTCTGGTCAGTTGCCAAGTGTGGTAAACTCCAACCATGGAAGAGATATTTATTAAAAGTAGACAACAACTTATTACAGTCAAGTGAAAAGATGACCAAACTGGGGTTTGAACCCAGGACCTCCTGGACAATTACCAGTAGCTCTATCCACTGAGCTATCCAGCCAATAGGATTCAACACTAGGACATGCATGGTAAGTGGCTTATGACAGGCTTTGCCTGTTGCACTAGACCCAAAATTAACTTCCTGGCCTTTCAGTACTTCTGAACCTTCTGAAACTTCCATTCATGGAACTTAAAGCATCTTGAGAGGTTGTCATCATCATATCAATCTCCTATCAGTAGAATGACTCTCAGCCTTATAAAGTAAGCTTTAATTGATCAATATATCTGTGTGGACTACCTCTCACAATCTAACCATATGTGCGGTTGGTTGTAATGTTCCAATTCACTCTGAGAATATACTATAGATAACACATCTCAGCCACTGCCTAAGATGGGCGGAGATGACTGAGGTGCTTGCAAGTAATGTGAATATAATGGGTGGGGTTACCTACAATATTGTGGTGATGAACAAGGTCATAGGATTTAAGTGAAAGTGTTGTAGTCCTTCTGGTGCTTCCGTGCTCAGTTCCGAGTCCAGAATTTCGCGGGCTTCCGGAATGGTGGTTCCGAGATTGAATCTCGGAACAGTCAGAACTCGGAGCATTCGGAACCATATACATGTTTGAACGCTCGATTACCCTTCATCTCCTTCTTTATACCGTTATGATGAATCCTTCATCTCCACATCTCTCATATTACACCGGTCAAATCAAAATGAAAACAACTTCATCTGAGCCACAGAAACAAGTAATTTCTATTCACTTTTGACAGAATGTACAGGGGAACCTTACAGTTCCGAACTCGGAAGTACCAGAAGTACTACATTTTATTCGCTGAAACGTTACCACCTTGTTTCAGAGTCATTACCACAATGTTTTCCGTAAATATATATATACCAATAACATACATATATCTTTTCGCCTCACTTACAAGCACATCAACCTCTTCCACCCATCTTAGGCAGTGTCTGAGGTGCTCTACTCTCGCTTAGCTTTGTTTGGGAAACTATTGCCTTCTCTAAGACCTCAACAGAAATGCAGGGTACATTAGCTAGGAATAACACTAACTCATATTAGCTTAAGACTGTATGGCCCTTATATGAACTTAAACCTTTCATTACAATATCCATTACTACACTTTATGATCTTCTTCCAGTTTCATCACCACAACATAGGGATGGCCACATTGTCCTTTCCAAAATGGGTTAATATATGCAAACGGAAGTGAAGATTGATTAGTTAAATCATTCGGAAGCTGACATGCCGAATGTGATTTTCTCTTCAAGTTAGTCCAGTTGGGATCAGTTCCATGGTAGCAGACAGACAAGAGACTTCTCAAGGCAGTCCGGATAATAATCATAATTAAGGCAGCCATTAGACAACCAAGCTATACCGTTCCGATGGCTCCGGCTTCCCGATAGGCTATGCACTTCCGGAACCTGGAACCATCAACCACCCAGACTGCACTGGAGCTTCAGAGCATCATGCTGCAGGCGATGTGTAATAATCAGGAATATGATTTTCCACAATACCATTGTAACTGGCTGTGATCTGTATAGCAATAGAAAATAAAGTTAATCTGCTTAATTCCCGCCTCAGCCTTCGGAACCATCGGAGCGAATCCCACTCATCGGGAAGTTTTGATGACATGCCATGTATGTTCAGAATCATGTTTAAATTTGACCCCTTTCCTGGAAATGGTTGTAACAAAGTCTAAGAGAGAGCAGGAGTTGCTCGATACTCAGCTGCTGCCTAAGATGGGCGGAAACGACTGAGGTGCTTGTAAGTGAGGTGCAAGTATATATATGCTATGGGTAGAAGTATACTCATATTACATTACCTAAAATACCTGTAAGAAAGTTATAGGATTAAAGCAAATAAGAATTATAGTGTTTCCGGAAAGCACCATACATGGTTCCGGAGTGTGGGGTTCCGGTGTCGGGACGCGGAACGGTCGGAACTGTTGTTATTTGTCAGGTTAGATGTGGCATTCACCTTGCATCATTGAAGACGCTGCATCCAGCTCAAAGTACTTAGGTTCGGAAAATTATGTCTAGCAGCAAACGAGGATGGTTATGTACACATGGGTTAATCAACATGCATCCCTAAATTCTATACATTCGATTAGTAGCCACTTCCGATATCCCCTCTTCGTCTGGAAAAGCTTTCTTGATGTGTTTGACATAGTGTGGACCGCCTCACATGTCACCCACATTGCAGGACATCCACCCGCCCCATGCCACTTGCTTTGTCCATATGTTTTATTTGGATGGTCCACACAAATTCGGGCAACTCCCGATGTGGGTTTGGGTCACTTCGCATGTCACACTCACATCACAGGACATTCACCTGCTCCACACCACTTGCTTTGTCCATAATGTGGACCACACAGCACTCTTTTGATCCACCCGATGTTCTGATGTTCCTATAAAGCCTGGAGCTTTTGGATCGCATGAGGTCCAATTAAATTGTCACTCACACAGTGCACAAAAAGGCAAGGCTACAGAAACTCTTTGTTGACCATACTGACTCTCTCCCTTGCAGAATGGCATACACACAGCAACAGGACACCATCGATGATAATCTCCAAATCATGACAACTGAGCATGCCAACCTTGCTCCTCCCACCACCAAGAGCCCCGAGGTTGACAACATCTTGAACCTATATCCAAGTTCCTTGTAAGTCTATACACATTCCTGGAACTACAGATAACTCACATCCCTGAAAAGCCACAGGTTACAGTGGATCTCCAGGGAGGATTCCACTAGGATGATATGGGAAGTGGATTTCAGTATCCGCCCTGGGGACTGGAAAAGGATCCAGAGATATGTCCATGCAAAGGAATATTTCATCGCTCCGACCCCTTCAACACTGAGGCCTCAAGTGGGTACCCCAAGCCCAGAAATGCTGGAACGCTTGCGACGGGCGCCAAGGGAAAAGCTGGAATTCGTGGAGCTGCTGGAGGAGGTCGAGGTGAAGGGGCAGATAAATGGAGAGGAGGCAGGAGAATTGCAGGATTACCCATAGTCTTGTCTGTTTTGCACCCACTTCCAAATCATCTGCACACGACTGAATAACAAGTGTGGATCAGGTGTGATATATTGGCAACAGTTCCGATAGTTCTGGCATCGGAACCAACGGAACCACTTCCGGAATTCCCTTAGAAAGTACTGAACTTATTCACATAAACCTTATAACCTTCTTTCAGGTTCATCACGGCAATATTGTAGGTAAAATAATACAAGTATACCTCCATCCATAGCATATATATAGCTGCACCTCACTTACAAGCACCTCAGTGGTTTCCGCCCTTCTTAGGCAGCGTGAGTTACCTTTACTTAGTTTTTCATCCCTAACTGATGTACTATAGTATTGAGAAACCGCTGCTCTCTCTCAGACTTTGTTATATATATATGTCACCAAGAAGACACTGGATGCTACTGCTCGGTGTCACAGAGCGCATGGGACACGTATGTGCAGCTGGCATACGTCAGGAGAGTGCAGGCTTGAATGATGCAATAGTGAGGTGTAACTAAAACTAGATGAAATTGTAACCTTATTTATCATTTTATTTATCATTTGAATGGCTATATCAAGGGAATGAAAGCCTATCATAAACTCAGTAGCACTTTCTGGTTCCGGTTCTAAGGATCTCTGTGAGTGCTTTATAGGGCTTATTTCATAATAGTTGTTTTGACATACAATATATATGGCCTGAAACCTCCATTCAAGAGGATTCTAATGGTTGCTTTGACATGTTGCGGAGAATTGCATCAGGAAGTGTGGCTGTAATTGTTGAACGGTTTGATAGTTCCTGGCAGAAACCTCCTCTTCCGAAACATGTTCATCACTCCTCACAATAACATCTACAGCAGAAAATATTCTCTAAAGAGAGAGAAATGTCCAAAGCAGAAATCTGTCAGTACTCTTATTTTTACTCCTTTGAAGATAGTATATTCTCAGAGTGAATTGGAACATTACAACCATCTCCATATATGGTCAGGTTGTGAGAGGCAGACCACACAGGTAGATTGATCAAAGTCTGAAAGTCATTCTACTGATAGGAGATTAATATGATGATGACAACCTCTCAAGACACTTTAGATTCCATGAATGGATCTGCTCCGATGGAAGTTCCAGAAGGTTCTGAAGTACTGAAAGGCCAAGAAGTTTCACATCCTCTATAAATGCTGGAATAAGTGCATGTAGAGGATGGTATGAGGTTTCGTTTCTATTCCAGTGTCAGACCAGGGGTTCCGAAAGCGCCGGAAGTACCGGAAGTACCGCAGATACCAGAAGCACCGGAGGCACCGGCAGTACCGGCACTGAAATGCCAGGAAGCGTCACGTCTTCTGGAAAGGCTGAAGTAACTGCATGTATGAGCTTCCATTTCTGAAGGTGCCGGAAGCACCGGAAGCACCGGAAGAACAAGAAGCACCGGAAGAACAAGAAGTGCTGGAGGCACCACAACATCCACTGGTACCTGCAATACAGGCATCCAAAGTGTTGCAGCTACCCCTTATTATAACCTCCCTGCAATCCATTGAAGATTCCTTCCAGCCATTCAACTCCACTGATGCATGTAGTAGGTGAGTTGCAAGAGGTATTTGCACGCTTGAAGCTTCAAAAGGAAGAGGAAGAGGTTAAGGATTATGATGATGATGATGATGATGATTGCCATATCACCCTGACATGATGACAAAATCTAAGAGAGGGCAGGAGTTGCCCAATACTCAGCTGCTGCCTAAGATGGGTGGAAACAACTGTATTTCTCTAAGACATGGCAAGAGTTGCCCAATACTTAGCTAGGTTAGATAACACATCTCATTGTAAGTAACATGAAGATATATATATGTTATAGGTGGAGGTATACCCATCTTATCTTACTTACAATATTCTGGTGATGATCCTGAAAGAAGGTTGTAGGGTTTAAGTGAATAAGTTGTAGTCCTTCTGGTGCTTCCATGCTTTCCGAGTCCGGAAGTGCATGGGAAAGCTCAGGAACGGGTTCCAAGACGACATGATGACAATGTGCCCTCGACAGAGACCGCTGCAATTATA